CAGCCAAGTTTTGTTTTGTGTGTTTGTTTGTTTTCCCTCCTATGGCCTTTGTCCATGTATTTTCCTTCTGCCTGGAATGTTCGGCCACTTTCCACGCCTTCCCTCATACCTTCGCCTGGCCAACTGCACGGAAGCCTTCAAATGTCATGTGAAATGCCATTTTTCCCGAGGGCCTTCCCTGCCTGTACTAGTCATCCATTTCTCAGTCTGAGTCCCATCTCCCTGGCCACACCCGCTCGCACCCGGGACTCCTCACGGGACCTGGAACAATGACTCCCACCCGGCAGGTAGGGGTTACGAAGGTCTTGCTGGGCCTAGGCTAGCAACAGGGCCTCCTGGCACACCCACTGCCAACGGCATCCGGCAGAAGAGGGCAGGATGCAACAGAGTCAAGCAACCCCTGACACACCAACACACCCGCGTGTGTTGAATAAAAGAGGATGCTCTCCGAGTCGCTTCTTGTTGTTAACTAGGAGTAAGCCTCCCCACCCCCTGAACCCTTCAGAAACCAGCAGCAAAAGGTCCACCATTTCCTCTGAGCCGAAGTGAAAATGCTCCACTCAGACAGCAGGGGCTCGCCTGGAGTTCTGACCGTCACGCCGTATCTCCTAAAGAGTCTCCGCTCGCTTTCAGCATTTAAGCAAGAACCACCACAACAACAAAAAGTTCCTGGCCCTGTCTGGAGGGCTTTGCTCCTCTGGACTCAGACGGCGTTCTCATCCCACACAGCAGTGCTCGTCACACTGCAAAATACACGAGACCAAGAACCGCTGAGAAATGTACCCTAAGGTGGACTCCACCTCCGCTTCTAAAGGAAGACAACGTGGTGGGAACTTTTGAAGCCTTTGCAGTTTTGTAAGATACACACTGTACGAAAATAACACTATCTTGGGGACCGAATCTTTTTCTGCTGCGTACAAAGGACGTGGAATGAAAGCCTGTGTCTAGCAAAGACACGGGGGGGGGGTGTCCAGGGAGCAAGCGGCCTCAAACCCCTCTGCCTACCGGCCCTGGAGGCAGCCAGGCCAAGGCTCAGGCTCAACCACTTACACAACCAGCTGCCTGGCACTCATTGTGGACAAAACAATTTTAAATATAAACTGAAAAACACCACAGGGAAGGAAACATGAGCTACTTCTGTGAATGAGAAACCAGGACGGGGAGGCTGAGAGGGGAGGGAGAACCTGGCCCTTGTGGGTAGTGTCTTGGAGACTTTTAGGAAATAGATGAATTGGGGGGGGGGGGGGGCTGGGGGGAGAGGGGAGTTGAGAAAATGCAGAAGAGAGAGAGAGATGGATTTGTATGTAAATTCCTATTTTTTTGGCTAGCCCCCAAAATTCAAGACATCACCCTTGAAGGATAAGTTACTCTTTATTTTTTAAAAATACATTTTTATTGATTTCAGAGAGGAAGGGAGAGGGGGGAGAGCTAGAAAAATCAATGATGAGAGAGAATCAATGATTGGCTGCCTCCTGCACACCCCCCACTGGGGATCGAGCCCACAACCTGGGCATGTGCCCTAACCGGGAATCGAACCAGTTGAGCTACACCCAGCTGGGCAATTTCTCTTTCTTTAAAACACGAGTTGAGGAGCTGCTGGATTATAACCAAGACAGTGTAGCCATTACAGGAACTAAAGTTTGCAGGGCTCGTTTCTGAATTTAAATAATATTTAATCAACTAAATATGAACTCCACTTGTTGAGAACATTTATTCTATACATCAATATTTTATAATGTGGCAATCCACAAACCACATGAAAAAAAAAAAATCCAAACCAACTAAAATATTCAGACAAAATGCTTTTGACTCCCATGTGAGAATTCTGCCTCAAATAGGGACCGGGGAAAAGTTACTTTCTTAGCCAGACTACAACAGTGACAGTCTCCAGTGATTACTTACTAACAAACACTGGACACTTCTCTATTTCCAAGAGAAAACATTAGAAACCGTTATGAAACTGCTTGGCCCAGAAGTCACAGTAACTTCCAATTTCACAGAATTTAGGAAGCAATCCTCAGACAACTATTTTGAAACCCGTCTGATGAAACGCTGTGATGTGACAACGTTTCATCACTTAAAAGGATGAAAAATGAAATGTGAGGAACAGCCCAGTGTCTGGGTGAAAACTGGCCATTCATCTGGGCATCTGCAGATGGACCACATTCTCTGGCCAGGGTTGAGCCAAATGACACACCAGCCATAACGCAGAGGGACCCCTTTATCCACATAGGCATCCTCTATATCCGGTCAGCTCATCACTCTGTGTCCAATGAAAATGCAATGACAAACGTAGTCCCAAGGTGTATGATTCCTCGATCCCCCAAACTGTACGTGGCCAACCGTCTCCAGCCTTGCTCCATCCTACTTTCCATCTCCCTCTACTGATACCCCCTACTCCCACCCCACCCCCAGCGCCCAACATCCCTCCTCCTTACCACTCAGTGTCAGGTGAAGATTGCAGAAATGCACAATTACAGGGCTGACTCATATAACCAAAGACACCAGTCAGCTGCCACAAGAAGCATTAAGTATTTCACAGATGTGGTTTCCTATTGTCCAAGCTATGGCTTTTCTCCTCTCTCCAACTCCCAGAACCTACCCCTCCACCACCCTCCCAAACCCCCCACACTTGGGCCCTCCCCCAGGTCCCCAGGAACGGAGCAGAGAGCACAACAGCTGCTGTTACAGCTGCCACCTGGGGCTCCTTGGGACAAGGGTCTCCATCTCAAGGGTGGTGGTGTTCTCCCAAGTGGTTGCCACGGTAAGCATGCCTTCGAATAAACAGCAGAGGGAAAACAAAAACCCGAACTCCTCTCCTTGCAATTCTCACCAAAAAACGCACATGGGCTCCAGAAAAAAAAATATGGTTTAACCACTGCTGGGGGTAGTGCATTCTGCAAATGAAAGTATCAGGTGCTTAAGGCGTACTGGCGGCATCTGTCCTTATGGGATTGAAGAGACAGGTGTTAGAAAGGAGGACAATCATCTATCTCTTTCCCAATGGCCAAAACCCCACTCCTGCTCATCCGGAATGGGCCTGTGTGCCTCCAGGGCATACCTGTGAGGGACTGTGTCCACTCTGAACCACTTCTAAGAATTACAGCTTCTCTCCACATTCACAGAGAGAAGAGTCCTCCAAGGGATGTTAAAGATAACGTCCTATCTCTGTACAATTACAAAACAAACAATGTGGGCAAATCCCCCACCAAGCATTTCCAAAAGCAAGAGAAATAAATGGCAAAGCCTAGACCCACGCTGGGAAATTCGGGGTGGCAGGAAACGCGAAATGGATGGGCTTCCTCACATTCCCCTCGGGGACTCGAACAATCCCCCTTCTGAAGAATCTTGGGAGTTGTTAACACACGGTTTAACACAGCATCCCTGTTTCCTAGGAGAAAGCTGTGTTGGAACCCGGCGCCAACAGCCTCTTTACGCCAATGACACCGTCCCTGTGGATGACCCGATTGAGAGGGAGCCAAACAGAGCCCACCATGGAACGGTAACACCTCTCCCTTAGGAGAGAGCACTCCCCAAGGCCGGGAAGGGGGCAGAGAGCGGGTCCAGCCCTCGCTCTGGCCACTAGCACAGCGTGTGACATTGGGCACGTCACTGAAGGCATCTCTGGGCCTGTTTCCTTTTCTGGGAGCAGGTTGGGCCTAACTGAGCGCTAAGGTCACTTCCAGCCCTGAACTCCTGGCATCAGAAGAGCATGTGTCATTAGGAGCATCAATTTTATTGTGGGGTTGGAGGAAGGAGGAAGTTTCTGGAGAACGTCAATCTTTTCTAAATGCCTTATGGATATCAAAAATGCATAAGACATTTTCACAAACAATGACCCAAGAAGTGGCTTTATAGAAATAAATTACTTTCTGGTAGATAGACAGATACATCTATATATATATATATATATATATATATATATATATATATATATATATATATTTTTTTTTTTGATACTCCTATAACAAAGGCATAATTCGTTAAGGAATATATTCTCAATTACAGCAAAGCTACAAAATAAGGAGGCAGTTGACCTGGATTTTGACATGATGTATCCGAGATCTTACTACCTAAGAAAATCATTTTGCCATTTTTAGAAATTGCAAGTAACACGGAGGCAAAATATATTAGTGGGTAACATTTTGTGATACTTAAAATATAAATGAATTGTTCCGTGCTTTGCATAATTCTACCTGTCATAAATTTGTTATAAAAGTACCTTCCTTCATAATTTCAAAAGTATAAAGTCCAGCTCATGACATAAATCTAAGAGAGAGAATAAAATCCTAATATGTCTGAGCTACCTTCTCGAGAGGTTCATTTATAAATTCCACTTGCGAGCCTACAAAATCCTTAGACAGTGCATTAAAAATATATGTAGACACACACGGTATGATGTAGTCTCTTAGTACTACAAACAAATGGTTCCTGTATTAATTAAACCCTGTGCTTTCAAAGCCATGGATGTACAGATTAAATTTAATTTAAGCCTTTTCTAAGTTCATTTCTTGGATCAATCAAGCATCCCAGAAGACATTTTTCTGATGTTAGTGTAGAGTGTTTCTTTACAACAATTAAGATAAATGGGGGGCTAGGGGGTTGGAAAAGTCTAATTTCTAATTCCCTCCTCTGCCACTCACCTCCCCTAAAGGACTTTTTCAGGGAAGCTTTGGAGTATTCTAGTCTTTAAAACTGTCTGGGTACCATTTCCAGTCTGCCCTACACCACAAGGGTCATGCCTACTAGCTGGAGCCCACGAAGCTCCACTCCACCCCATACTAGGGGAAAGGATAGGTGGGAAATTTTCCAGGTAGGTAATCATCGCTAAGGTCCAATAGAAGAAAACAAGTACCTTCTAGACATACACCATATCCAAGAATATGCCAAACCAAGTTTTTTTAAAGAAAGAAAGACTGACAGGCTTATCATCAACCGAAGAGCATGTTCTCCATCTCCCCCCCAGGAAAGGAAGCGATTGCCTCCAAAAGGTCACTCACCACGATGTGTGCGGGCGACGGGGAGCGTGCATCCTTGAGGGCTTGTCTGCTCTGGAGGGTGCCTGCCTGGACATCCAGGAGCGGCCATTTCATCTGCAGATACTGGGGAGCAAACAAAACCAACATGGAAAGTGAACACAGCGAGGCAATCCATCAACCAAAGACCTTGTAGGCCCATATGCTTAACCCATGGAAGCAGAGGGGAAGGGAGGGGTTGGAGGGGGTCAATGGGGGCAGGAGGGGGACAGATGTAACACTTTCAACAATGAAGATTAAAAAAGAAAGAAAGAAAGAAAGAAAGAAAGAAAGAAAGAAAGAAAGAAAGAAAGAAAGAAAGAAAGAAAGAAAGAAAGAAAGAAAGAAAGAAAGAAAGAAAGAAAGAAAGAAAGAGAAATGCAAAAACAGCTTCCCTGAGAGGTAACTCTTGAGGTTCATGACACATGGACCAGAAACTGAAAAACTTAAGAGCATGTGAATAACATCAACGACAGAAAAACCGTCCAACACCCATAGGTTCTTCCTTAGAGTTCATGTTCATTAGGTACATCAATGTTGTTACCCTTCAGGCTACAGGTAGCTCCAGACAAAACGACCTCATCCACACTACCCCTCGCTGAGGAGCGGTGGGGAGGGCGGGAGGAGACACAGAGGGCTCCCACAGGAAGAAAGCAAGGAAGGCTCCAGCCAGTGTCCCAAGAGACCACCGACTCGGAAGGTCCTCTTTCAGGCTCGCATTTCTTAAACGCCAACCTCCTGAGGATACGTGTGGAACTGTCCCCTGCTGGAAGTCACTCAAGGAAGGTGAGGAGGCAATTCCTCCTCCGAGCTGAAAGCTTGGAGAACAAAAATGTAGGGTGTGTGTCCCCCCCCCCCCGCCCAAAAAAAATGGGCACATACTTTAACAGCTGGTAACTCACTTAACTTTGAAAATGAACTGGGGTTCATAAACACTGACTTTATAGTCACTCAAACTGTGTACACATTTTGGAGGGACATCCTGTATTTTTTGGTAAAACATGCACAAACACAGCACAATACAACGTACACCTTCAACGCAAAAGGATGGAGGAACTGATTCTTAAATGCATACAGGTTTACCAGGGAGAGCAAGATAAAGACGGAAGCCAACATGTCTGTCTGCACCCTTGTCCGGGGTAGAAAACGAATCCACAGCGCAAGGGAGGGGAGCTGCTTCTGTCAAAAGTGACGTGGCCAGCTTTCAGGGGGATGTACACCATCCACTGATCAGCCTCTCCACTGGGCAGATAGGGAAACTGAGGTAAGGGGGCCTGTCTGGTCACTGAGATGTGTAGCACATGGACAAGCACACCCCGGGCATACGACTTTCATTGGTGACATTACAGCAGGTTTCCCTCAGGAAAACTTCAGGCCACCAAACAGAACTTAGACACTGCTGCGATTTTAATAAGGACACCGATTCCGGCCTTTGCACCTACAAAGGCCAACTGACTAAGGCAGGGGTTAATGCTTGGAGGACATATAAGGAGCCACCTTGATCTTTCCAGAAGCCTACAGCAGAAAGAAAAAAAAGGCTAGTTCCAATTCTAATCCTACAGGCACCCAGTGAACACCAATTAGAGCTTGCTTTGTGCATCACAGGGACAAACATGTCGCCTCAGGAGGGCTTATGAGGGAGCCAACTCCTCAGAAAGCCAAGAGGGAAGGGGGGGTGGGGGGGGGAGAGAGACCCGGGAAATCATGCCCGGGGAATGCCAAGAAGAAGGTGGCATTTCTGAGAAAGAGAGCAGGGCCGGCCACAGGGAAGATTTCAACAGAAAGGACAGCAAAGGGCAGTCCGGAAAGAAGGAAGGATTCGCTCAAATCCCTTGTGACAGAAAAGGGCCAAAGCCACCCACGTGCTTCTCCATCTGGAGAATGAAAACCCAACTCAGTTGCACCTAAAGCTGGAAGTCACTAACCCACAAGTCTGCCCAAGTATACGGTCATGGTCCCAAGCTGGAGCGATGTGAGCTTGGAGAGAATCTTCTTCCGAGTGTGTACCTAGCAGCATCCTGTGCACAGGAAGCCGGGTGGCCGGTGCTGTTGACTTGCCCCAAGACCTGGCACCAAATGCCTTAGCTCCAAGGTCCTCCAGGTTATATCTATAGACTAGAGGGCTGGTCCTCCCTGTGATGGGATGGGTGAGGGGCTGGTCCTCCCTGTGATGGGATGGGTAAGGGGCTGGTCCTCCCTGTGGTGGGATGAGTGAGGGGCTGGTCCTCCCTGTGATGGGATGGGTGAGGGGCTGGTCCTCCCTGTGATGGGATGGGTAAGGGGCTGGTCCTCTCTGTGATGGGATGGGTGAGGGGCTGGTCCTCTCTGTGATAGGGTGGATCAAACACTTCTAGGAGCCTGAGCCTCCAGACAGGAAATACCAGCAGGCACCCTCCTCCCCCTCAGTCACCCTTATAATCAAACCGTTTCCGATACCTTGTTTGGGAGCAGAACTGTCCCAAGGTCAGAGCCACTGAAATGTTTCCATTTCATATAAGGAAAGGGTTATGGGAATCTCTTCTGCCCTGTCTCATCCTCACTTCGGCCCATTCTCACTTGCCATATAAATACAGGGGCCTCGTTGGTCAAAACCACTCAGCAGAGTCATTTCCTTGAGGCCAACCGAAATGGACACCTGCCAACACTCACCCCCTCCATCTCGTAAAAACCCATGAAGAAAAATGCCAAGCGGAATCTACCACACACCTACGGCTCCCACTACACTCGGTGGGGAAGGATCGATTAATGGACAACTTTTCATCTCTGGCCTTCTGCGAAACGGATTTGACTGCATCCCAAGGACCAGCTCCACGGGATTAGGAAATCCAGGCTTTATTTAACATGACAGACCTGCCCCGAGGACCCCACCCACGCATTATCATACCCACAATGCAACATTAACGGGAGACTTATAATTCTTCCTTTACATAAAAGCTTCATTGTGTGCCATATCCAATCTCCGCGGGCTACCTGCACCACATATTTTTATGAGCCTACATTTCAGCGCTCCGAGCCCACAATACACATAATTTTCAATTATGTTAGGGCAGCCCAGGATCACTGCCTATATAACATTACTGGTTGGAGGAAATGAGACTCGCCCCGCTGCCCAGGGAGAGCTAACCAAATCCAGATGGCAAAGGAGGACGGCCCCGATCCCCACCGACGTGCAGGGACGCCCCAGTGACAGCCCCAACCTCTCGTGGCCCAAGGCAACTTGATCCCACAGAACGGCTGGGTCCCCACAAACCCACGCCCACCCCATGTTCCTGGGATCTGAGCTGGCATTCTGGCGGACGAGGTTCCTTGTGGGGAAGTGAGTATTATGTCGGGATTTTTGAAAGGAAGTTATTAACTCTCCTCCAAAAGTGATGGATTTCCCAGGTCTCTTCATCTTCTTACAATTGGTCCTTATTAATAGAGAAAATAAATAAATAAAGGGGAGAAAAAGGAAATTGGCCACTATTAGAGCCTAGAGGAAAATCTTTCCCTTCCTGGAGACATTAAGCAGCCAGAAATTCTATTTGTTCTGCTGGGTCCTAAAGGAAGACCCGAGGAAAGGAGCATCTGGGACGCACGAACCGGCTGGAAGGAAAGCCACGCCACGTTTTCCCAACGGTTCCATTTTGCTTTTATATCCTTCTGGGGGAAGGAAAGAAAAAAAAAAAAAAAATTCCCACCATCCCACTATAAAAACAACACTGGGCTCCAGCTCTCTTCCTTTCAGGCTGCTCAACATGGAAATTATGAATTGCCTACAAAAACATTAAACTTTTCAACAAACTGCAATCAAACGGAGCACTGTGGGAATTCCTGCATTGAAAACTATTGAAATGGAGTCTGCTTGACTTTCATTTTGAGGAGAGAGAGAGGAAAAAAAAAATGGCCATCTCAGCTTAAGCATTTCATCCTTTGTTTAATAATAATGTTCTGCTCATGGCCCATTAGCGTCTTCCCCCAAAATCATATTTTATGATACGTCTTGGGGAGCTTAAAGTTAAGCTTTCGGACCTGGGGACAACGTCTCAAAATATACACAATACCATTGGCCTGAAAGGAATCCAGGCTATTTAAAAACCTGTTAAATTGTCAGCAACAAGAGGAAGGTACATATCTCGAATTTCTCCTCTTCCGACTCTAGTTAAAAAAGAAAAGGAACAGAAAGGCACGTGGGGATGGGTCTCTCCAATCAGAAGGCCTCTCCAGAACCAGGTTCAAGTGGGCCTGGCAGAACCTGCTCTCCATCTGTGTGCATTCGGATTGGGGAGCGAGAAGGGGCTGATCAGAGGACCCGCCATCGGAGGGCCCCTCAGGTCTTGGTACAAACTTGTTTTCCAAACAAATAGGACAGACAATTCAAAGGACAGTGATGATGATGATAATGACGCTGACTGCCAGGAAACCCCACATCCTTGATAAACTCCAAAGCGGTTTCCCGGCACTCTCTGCCACTCGCTCCATTCCACAGATGGACGGGCAGCAGAGTCTGCCCTGTGTTTGTCCAGGGCAGGGCTGGCAAACATTCCCTGTGAAGGGCCACCCAGGAAATCGCACAGGCTCTGCAACCCATACCCCCTCTCTCATAGCTGCTCAACTCAGCCATGGGCCATACACGGACGCACACCTGTATTATGCTATGGCTCTGTTCCAATAAAACTTTATTTACAGACATTGAAATTTGGATTTCATATGGTTTTCCTGGGTCAGGAGATAGTCCTCTTCTGTTTATTGTTTCCGATCATTTAAAAATAATCGGAATCATTCTCAGCTCACAGGCCACACAAAAGCAGGTGACCAGCCAGCTTTGGCCCATGGGCTGTGGTTTGTCACCCCTGACTTCAAGAAGGTTCATGCAAATACCTGAAAGACCATGTCAGATAGGATATATCCTTTCATTGGGCCTTAAATCCAGGCAGCTGAACACAATCACAGAGGAAACCGGTTTGGTGGTCTAAACGCAATACTTTGGTTTGACTCGTCACTGGCAAGACTCCAGCTTCAGGGGGAAAGTTTGGGAAAGAATCTGAGCCCTGGTCGTGACTCCCTAGTCACCGGGTCCGGTCTGACCAGCAGACCACAATCTCACC